GCTTGTTTCATCTGATCCACTTGCATTCTCCATTTCAACAACTTATCTATGTTTTCTTTCCTTCAACTTTCAGTACTAGTACTAGGACTAGGATTTCTGGTCTTCTTTATTTGATGTTAGTATATTTACATTCTTTTTGTTGAAGCACTTTAATGTGTGTTGTGTTCATGTCTGTCCAATTTAATCTCTCTCTTTCCTTCCATTACACTGGAAATTAGAGGCCCAGGTTCACTTGAATAAATATTTAAATGAGGAAGCACCAACCACCCTCTGTATGAGATGTTAATGTGAAAGTAATACAACTCTTGCTGGCTGCCAGTGGAGATCCTCAATGTAGAAGGTTGGGTAGAGAAATTATCTAGAATTTATGAACTAGAACTGTAAATATGTTTCTAGTTGTATACATCAGAAAATAGATCAGGAACTATTCAAGAGAATTAATCCTTAAGTTCAAAGTTTTTTCCGTTACTAATTAATTTACTTCAAATTGTTGTTTTGACAGATGAAGATTTTGAAGATTAAAGAACAAGATCATGTGAAAGATAATGTGGAGCATGCAGCAAAGAATATTATATTTTTATTGTTGGTGCAAAGACGTTTTCTGTAGTTATTCTTAATGTCATTTTCTTAATTTCTAGGATTTTATAAATGTCGAACACATATTTTATTATGTTGAACGTGTATGCTTTTTTTTTTAGATATTGTGTCGAACATATAAGTTTTTAGTAATTAAATCAGTGTGTTCTTTATTATTAACAATATAATTTTATATCAAATTTTCAATTGGATGTGAAAAGAATTTATATGAACTGATCATATTAGTTCTTTTTAGAAATGATGGAAAAGATAACAACTACAAATTAAATGTAATAATTTAGATCGAAATTTGTGACAGGAAATTTGATTGTTAAAAAGTATTGTAATCAACGATAGGAATTCTGGCCGCTAAAATTAGTTATAACGCCCCTAATTTGTTGTTTTACTTGAAGGTTCTAATGACCAAATGACCATCAATGAAGGGGAATTTGGTCGTTGTAAGCACGTGTAACGACCGGATTAATTGGTGTCGTTAAATAATATTTAACGACCGGACATGCAATCTGGTCGTTAACCTTTAACGACGGAGCTTTTAACGACCGGTGACGACCAATTTTTGACCGGTCGTTATAGACCTTTAACGATCAGATTTGGACTTATAGCGACGATATTTCCTTTTGCTAAAGGTCATTTTTCTTGTAGTGAAGATTTTAAGTCTCCTCTTCCAAGCTCAAGGCTAAGTTCATTAAGG